ATTATTACAATATAAATGAAGGTGTAGGGTCACATCTATGCACCGAGTTTCCTATATGAATCCTAAAAATTATATCATAGTCAGATTTAGTAACCAAATTCTTATCACTTGTAAGAGTATTCTTAAAAGTTAACACCCCTTCTGTGCACTCTCCCTTTACCTTCCCACTTACACTTCCATGATGACCCTTCAACAAGCATATTCAAATCCAACATGGGTGGGAGGGGGTGTCAACCACACACATCATAAAACATATAGTCACATTCACTTGAATACAGAGTTCTTTTCATAGTGACCTTGTATATCTAATAGTGAGAGATAACACCCAGTTTATTCTTCTTTAATTGAGAGCCACCATAAAAAAAACAACTCTAAGCCCAAACAGGCTCAAAATTCTTCAACAATATTGTAGTGCCCCAGTGAAATGCTTGCAAAAATAAATCCTGACAATTCTTCCATGTGTTGAAAATTAGTTTGCTAAGATAATGTACCTTCATTGAAGTCAGGACTAATCTACAGCTGAGAGACAAAGATAGGCATAAATTCAAAGCAAATCCATTTTACCCATTTAACAGAAGCAAGATGATAAGACAAAGCAATATTTACATCAGAAGTTCTATTTGGACTAACTTTACTACTAGTTACGTTACCAATTTTACTAAAAAACAAACCCCTCCAAGGCACAACTACAGCTTACTTTCTTAACACAGCAACATGATTAGTTGAAACTGCATCCAGCTATGACTTCTGAAAAATTGGGAATACAGAGTTCAGTGGTTGTCTGGGAGAAGGACTGTTATGTTTCATATTTTAACCTTCTGTTCATCACAGTATGACACTTACCAGATAAGGTTAATTAATATTTATTCAATAAAATAAGCACAAGAAGGGAGATCAGAGAGCTTGACCGCATGATGAGCAGCAGGAGGGCTGTTCATGTGGCCCGCACTGATGGACAAGGAAAGCCAATTGTTCAAATATTAAGAAAGTTAACCAGTTTCAGAAAGCTTCAATGATTTTTAAATGCAAGTGGCAATTATTTGGTCTTATATAACATTTCCTTTTTTTTTGCTAATATCGATTAGTATTTTGGCCTTATGGAGAAGTACACTTGATATTCAGAAATTCTGTACTATTAATGAGGAATAAGTAAGTTAGACCAACCTTCCAAGAAGCTACTGACCAATACTATGGCCCCTGCCTTCAGCAAGAAACCATAAAAGTCTTTTGCATAGGAATTTTTATTTCTACCTAATGAATATACTATGTATTTGTATTACTGTCCAAACTTGTGCTATTTACAGAGATAAGATTAACAAACAGAGCAGTACCATAAGCTCAGACACATGAAGATGTAAAGATACTCCGTGTTTTCTGGTTTTGTGCACTTCTGACAGCAGAAGCATTTTTAAAGTAAACAAACACAAAAGCTTCTATATTAAAATCAGCTAAGCAGGTATTTCTGAAACTAGAAACTCTGTATTGGTCAATTCTGCCTTTGTTTGACAGACAAGCTTCTGAGACTTTCATTATCAAATCTAAAAGCAGAAAACATTGCCCAGTCAAATGTTTTCCAAAAAACCTTGAACACACACCAACCAAACAAAATCAAAACCAACCCTCCCACACAAAAAGCATCATCTTACCAGCTGGTGTTCAAAACATTTTTATTTGAATAGACAAGTGTAAGTTTCCCCAGAGTAACAGAAGAAGGGGACAAGTATTGCATTTAGTCTGGGGATGGGGAGTGGGGGCTCCTGAAATCCAAAGAGTTACAGAATAAGCTGCAATTGAGAAGAAATAAAACTTTCCCATCTCCTCTCATCTCCCCACATCTTAATTCCACTATCTGCACTTCCCTGCTATGGAAGTAATTTGCCTCAGTTCTTCTAGCTAACAGTCCCCAGACTGTCATACCAGAAATGGATTTGTGTGTGTGCGCCTGAGGAAAGCAACCTGCTGAGCTGCTCTTCCACATTCTGTTGATGAAATTTCTCTTTTAAAAAACATTAAAAATTAAAAATTGCTGCTTGAGAAGATAAAGTCCTTTCTTCATGTTAAACATATGCCACTAAGTCAGGAGTAGCTAAAAGGTACCTTAAATAGTTTTAATATACTGAAGCTAAATAAAAACTCTTCCAAGAAAAGAGATAGGAAGCTACAAACAGATTTTTGTTCAAAAATCTACATTATGTCAGCCTCTCTGAAACTAGCATGACTTGTACACGGATTCCAAAAAGAAACAGAAGATTAAAATCTAGCAAGATTTTAAAATAAACATAAAATAGTATTTCCTATTTTACAATAAACCAACATCTGCACCGTAGGTGTCCAGAGGCAGTTACAGCTGCATTTCCATCAATTGCTTTGGGGATTGTTCTGACATTTGTTCGATTTTCCCAAAAGTTTTAGTGTAAGAAAAAGATCTAGACTATTTGAAAATATCTTAATGAATTGGTCAGCCAAATACCCAAGTCCAGTTCTCTAATTTTGCTTCCCTGTCCACAGCTTTCAGAGCAAAAATAAGTGTAATTCAGGGTACACAACAGAATCTGAACACTCTCCCAACACTGCGCGTTCAAGCATCAATTGTGCACATGTTTAATTTTAAGCTGCAAAATAAACACAAAATAAAGATTGGGGTATAACCTAATGTTTTAACAGAATAAGTCTACTCAGTTTCCACATACTGTACCCTCTGAAGATGTGTATGACAGTTACCAAACAACACTTTTGCTATTCACCGCATGGCTAAAATGACATACTGTTCATGAAATCCTTCCCTCTCTCCCTTTTTTCCTGCACAACTGACCTCCTCTCACACAGAAAGACCTCTGCCAAACAGCAGAGAGATGCATGCAGAAATACACAGGAGACGCTATGTATGGGGATGCCAGCAAACACTTGTCCAGGTTTCTGCATAAAAAGAACAGGAACAAATTCCAGAGCTACAAAAGCGGAGAACTCACGCTCAGATACATGTCTGACTTGGCCTTCAGAGCTACTAACAGTCTCTCCTGCCTGAAGTGGATAGGTGGGTCCAAAGGTTTCCGAAAAATTTAATAAATACAGACTTCCAGGCTAAAATACAGTTTGGCATGAACAGAATCCTCTCCCGTAGAGTAAGAGCCAAGAATGACAGACAGCCTTGAGCCTGTATGAGGCCATCACTAGGAAACTTCTTCCTCTCTTGTTTTCAGTAAAAAGAACAGCTCCAAGGTGGTCACTGTGCCCCTTAGCACCATGCCTTCTGTCCCTTTAACCAGTACAGAAGGCACTCCAGAACCATGGCATTTCTCATTCGACTGAAAACAAAGAATCTGATTTTATAAAAATTAATTCTGGAGCTTCACAGAATGAAGCAATTGTTTCTTGACTTAATCTATTTTAGTTAGTAGACTTTTTGCCCCCCAAGGCCATTTGAAAGCTGGATTGCTGCATCTCTCCACTGTCAGTGTTACAAAAGAATGTCTAATTAGACAGAGTACCAAAAAGAGAGCAGCAGCCTGACCATCTCAATTGCACAACAAAACAGAGGAGACCTAAAATAGTGAAAAATACTATGTTGTGCTCAGGTTTAGAATATGGCACTTGGGCAACTTGAAAAATGCTGCAGGCTGGACTGTGCCAGTTTCAAACTGCATTATTACTGACCTCATTTAACTTGTCTTACAATTAGACTGCACAAGGAGTTGAACATAATAGCTGTGTTCTTCAGGAGCTATAACTATCAGATGGCTTCAGGTTTTTAGCCCATATCTATGGAGCTACTGTCCCCACAATTTTTTACCCTAAAGACAGTGTAAAGAAGGAAACCCTGCAATCTTGTCTTTTACTCCTTTAAAAAGTACCATTTAAAAAGAAATACACATCTTGCATTATTATTTTAACATCTATAGTAAAAAGCAGACTTGTTTTGATAGGTTGATACCATTAATTAGCTGGTTGTGTTTGAATACCAATTAAAAGATGAGAACAACACTGATATAAAGTCACAGCACAGAGAGATCAAGAGCATTCAAAGGGTCTCCCCTCAGGTCTCTGGTAGAATCAGCAATACTTACACATCATTCCTGACAAACGGTTGTCCAACACATTCACGAGACCCCCATCATGGAAATTCTAAACATTATCCAGTCAGTATGATCTATTCTTCTTTATATACTTACCCTAAGTTTTTTCTAACAATAAACCAAAGTTTCCCTTGCCCCTGTTTAAATCCATGTCTTCTCATCTACTCCACCACAGACAGAAAGAAAAGCCTTCTCCTTAGCGCTCATAAGTATTTGGAGATTTTATCTGCCTCCCCCACCGATCTTAAATCTTTAGACTAAACAACCTGAGTTCGTGCAAGTTTCCCTCAGAGGTAAGATTTTAAAACCTCTTCAAGAAAATCACTGCTGCTCTGTTGCTCTCCAAACTGTCAACTACTTTCCTGAAAAGCCATGCAAAGACCTAAGTATTCCACCCAGAATGCTGAGCAGGATGGAAGGTGCACCATGCCAAGGTCTATGGTGAGTGAACCATTCACAGGAGCACTAGAGCAGCTCCCAGCTCTGACCTCTAGCGATTTAAATCTAGCAACAGAGGTTCGAGTCCAACTTCCATTTCAGACATCTCCATCACTGTAAGAGAAAGAGCTACTTATAAGCAACTGGATGCTTGTGCTAATCTGTGCTTGACCACTGCTCGCACTGACATGGATTCTTCTTCCCCTTTGTCTTGCATGATAAAAATCCTCCGAAGCTTGAGTAAGCTGGCACTGACCTATTTGTGACTTACAACACTTGATACAACTACTCAGCTAATTAACCATGATAAGCCTCTTTCAACCAAGAATATATTCATATTTTTAAAAAAAGAACCCCAAAACTCACACACACACAAAAGCCACATTATTCCCAGAACTTCATTTAGATTGCATTGCTTTATGCTTCTTATTCTAGTGTTATCTACATTTACCTTTAAGTATATAATATCTGAATATTTTTAATTCTTACCTTTCTGTGTTCAATTGAAGGCTGTGGGATGACAAACTGAAATCCCAGCACTGCTAGTGAACTGAGAAGTCTGAAAAAGCAAATAGGTGATATAATTATCACTAATAAAACCCACATATCTACAACCTATTACAGGGCTTCATACTGCAAGAACTTATTTAGACTCAAGTACCATTACTAACCAAAGCAGACTCACTAAACTGTACGAGATGTTCTTATGACATTCTCTTCGCAGCAGGCAGTACCAGTTACATACATTGATTTGTCTGTGCATCAAGTAGACCTCATTGATAGTATTTCACATATATGTTTAAATAAAAATATTCTTGGCGGTTCACATTTTAACACCTTAGCATCTGGTGTCAAACTGACATGCTAAGTAAGATTTCACCCAACTGTGGACTAAGCCTGCTTCTAGCTCTGGCTCCTCATTTTACAGATGAACACTCCACCTCCAGCACCCAGGAAACATGCGAAGAATCACCATGATTTCGCAGAAAATAGGTTCTTCCCCAGCTGCGTAACAAACATTTGTAGAAATTGAATAACCTAATGGGCACTGAAGATGGAAAGTAGCAGACACAGCTCACCAGAGACTCAGGATAAGCGGCCAAGCATCACCCCAGTCCCCACATCTTCAGTCTGAAAGGAGTCATAATGGGAACCAGGCCCAAACAAACTTTGTTCTTTCAAGCCTCACCACTGTAATGACTCCTAGGAGCCTGTTACAAGTTAGGCTCAGTTAGCTTAGTCTTTTGTTTGCTGTAATTCGCACTGGAAACTGGTTTGCTCCCTTGTAGCAAGGCCCTTCATCAGAAAACACAGAAAGGTACAAGCGTAGAATCAACGTATCTGTATTTCTACCAGGAGTTGGAATTTTCAGTCCACAAAGAGTATGCTTCAGACTCTAAATAGGGGGAAAGCTGCTAATGATTTGCTGAATTTCAATGCAGAAGTAAAACTGATGGATCTGGATGCAAAATCCATCTGAAAACTAATGGACCAGACAAAATCCAGCTGTGCTTCCTACTCTCAAGCTCCTTCCTTCACTCCCTACACAGTAACCCTTTAAATATTTCTCATTGTTTCAGGTATTTTCAGAGACAGACCTCCTAAACAGAATGAGGGTTTTTATACTAATAATTTCATTACCACCAATACCTATATTCTTATTCTAAGCAGAATGTTTTTCTTGAGATTTCTATGTTTGTTTTTGCTAACATACTGCAAAAGGAACATTAGGTAAGTATTGATTGCACATGGCCTGCCATCACTTCATCACCAGTCTATGCCCCTCTCAAAGCAATAAACCATTCAAAGGTAAGAAAAAGTCATTACTTCCTTACTGCCACGTCAATTTAAGAAAACAAAACAAAACAACAATTTAAACACTTTAAAAGTCTGTTAAATGAAGTATTACATTTCACAAAGCTATCATTTATGATGAAGAAAAATATAGGTAGCTGAAATCAGACCCAGTGTAGGGCACTATAAAGAAACCACAGTTAAAGAGTCAAAATGTGCAGTTCAGACCACAGCCAAATAACACAATGTTGGACAGAAGCCAAAGGCATGAATGAAGAAACTGATTTGCCAATCACATGTGAAATCAAAGGCAGAAACAGAACTCAGACCTCCAAACTGCAAGATGACAGCATCAAGTCTGACCTTAGCTGACCTGCATATCTTTTTTTCCAAGTGCTCAAGTGATCTCCTAACTATTCTCAATGAAAACATGAGAAACTTCTTAATTAGGCAGAGCACGGACTGACAGGCCCAGCCAACATCCTCTGCGAATTATATTTAACTTCCTTTTCAGAATCTTCCTACCCATTCCCTGGTCCCTTACGGCTTCTGTTCCCCATAATCCCTCAGAGTATGTGAAAGAAAGATCAAACTTTGCATAAAGAAATGAATGCTTTCATCCTCAAACAGGACTTTTCTGATCTGTCTGAAGGACTACAGATTTCCATGTGTAAATTCTTCTGAAATCATGCACAAGGTTGGGAGTTCTGAACTGAGAACCATAATCTTCAAAGCAAATTACTTACCAGATTAAAATTTTCAGTTCCAAAACGCAACTTTCAGTATATGTGTCATTATACCATGCCAAGCTTTTCCTGACCATTCTTTAATGAGGTTGCACTGTAATCTCCCTCTGTATGTACATGCTCAAGGACAATGAAGCTAGTTTTTAAATTCGCTTCTGTATCTGCATTTGGATCTTTCAGAAACAATAGTATCAACCTACTACTTCAAACACACAGGAAATTTCCCAGGAATACTGAAGCTACTCTCCAGTAAGCCTCTAGCTTCAAATCAGTGTGTGGCAATTTAATTTTTTTAATGTTATTTCCCTCAGTAGCTTGCTTTGGCTAGCTTCTCTGGACTAGGCTTTTTTATTTGTCATGCTTGACTAACGTTAGCCCTCTCAAGGTACAAAAACATGCTTCTCCAATTTCAGTAGGTTTGCTTCAAGTATTCTTACTGTGCAAAAAGGCCAGAAAGAACAAGCGCTCCTCAAAATCAGGCAAAACTTCAGGTACACATGGATAGATCAGGTAGCAATTGCAGCTGATTGATAACTGTTTAACTCAGGCCTCTGTGTAAGAACTCTCTGGTACAGCCCATGCTCTCACAGTTATGGCACTATTTGAGCCAAGTAATTAGCTTAAAACAAAGTCAGGATTTAAACTGTCAGTCTACCCAAGTTGCAAAGAGCAAACATGCTCACTTTCTTTAACTGGTGGATACCAATTTCTGTTTAACTGGAGAGGGGGGGCTCAGAGCAGAGCAAAGCTGCATTAGTGCTATTGTAGGAGTAGCAAGAAAAAGTTTGCTGTTTAACACCTCATTTAGGAACACCTCTCAGAGTTCTTCCTCTGCCACTGCAGCAAGTATTAGCTCTCCACAAATGAAGCTGGAGGATAGCAAAATAGGTTTCTTGCATGGTTGCTGTCCCTTAGAAGTTGTATTTTATGAAGGGCTTTCATGGCCAACTATGGATTGTCCAGATAGGAGTGAAAGAATTTTAGCAAAGTGATTAGTACTTTTGTCTCATATTCCTGACTTCATCTCACATGAAAGTCTGCAAAAGTCTGGGACAGCTTGGGAGGTGCTACTCAGGAAGAAGTCTCAACAGGGAAGATAGTAGAGGTAGAGTCTATTGTATGTGACAGCTCCATTTTGATGGGGAATCTGTCCTGGCATATTAACAAGGGTGCCAGAATTGCAACTCAAGGATTGATGTCTGAAATTTGTAAGAAGGTTAGATCAGAGGTGTTACTGACAGTATCTCCACACAAACGAAAGAGCATGCAGCTGTCCTGCCCCTCCTTGCAGGTCAGCTTTTGTTCACATAGCACCAAAGCTGCCTGTTTTCTCTGAATTTGCTTGCCCAACTACAGAACTGGACAGACGAGCTTAGAAACAGTTGAATGTTTCCTTTGTCAGGAAAACTGCCTGAAAGGTCTTTCCTATGTTTGCCCAATGGCAACTGTTTCAGGAATGCAATATAGATTCCTGAATGAATTGCAGCACAGGTACTAAAACATGTAAATCAGTAATTTAAGCCCAGTGACTGCAGTTGCACAGCCTCATAAAGAAAAAAACCCCAAACCACCAAACTAACACGTTTCCAATAATATATACCATTACATTGGCACACACTAACAGATGCTCTAAGCATAAACAAATGCCAAGAACTTTCTTATTCTCACTATCACCAAAGAACGCTATGTCTGGTATGCATGTACTTGATTATTTGGTCTTCAGACAAGATTTTTATTTATCCATCTATGATACACATAATATTAACACTTTTAACACCAAAGCAAGAAACAACCAAATTGATATTTACTGCAGTGCATTAAAAGCATATTAAATAAGATTTTACATGTTTTATTGCATTACTTACCTCAAAGAAACTATTAAACTGTCTACCATGATCCTTTAATGCAAGGTCTCTTGAAGTGAAAAATAACCCTTCACTGCAGAACAGCACAATGCCAATCACACACAAATCCTACAGAAAAGAAACAGAAAAATATTTAACATTGCTTGTTTAGTATTTTCCAGGATGTCTAGGAAACTGGATACAGACCTACATTAGTCATCTCTACCTCAATTCTTGGGACTTCACAGCAATTCAAACTGGAAATCGGGTTATGTTACATGAATAGACTGGACACACCCCATATTTTGCAACAGGACTTCGACAGTGACAAAGTACTCTGCTTAAAGGCTATGGGATGCAAAATCTTGATCTGATTCCCAAGGATGTAAATCTGATGTTAAACTTATTTGCCTTTTTATCTCACATTCCTAGCATTACACTTTTATGACCATAAAGCAAACAGCTGTATTTGAAGTCTCATGTTAACAGGCTTCATAGAACTGAAACTGGGTTACCAATTTCTATTGTATAGTATTACTGTTAATACACTCTCCATTCTGTGTGCACTGCAAGAATGATTCTTTTGTGAGTGCCCATATAGTCTGCAGAAACAAAACAAAACAAACCAGAGAAAAGCAGTGTTGATCTCTATTACACATGGCAAACCCAATCACAATGAAGTTAAATGCCTTACCCACAGTCATGGAGGAAATCTGGCATTCCAAATCCAAATTCAACTGATCCTCATCTCTAAGTACTATCATTGCATCATGACTACTGCAAATGCACAGAAGCCCTACCAGCCCTTGAGAGGGTTATTACCTAGGTACACTTTAATTTGTTTGGAAATGCTCTCAAATGCTTAAGCATCTGGAGAATTCTTATTTTGATAAATTTGTAATCATATATTGGACACCTAAAATGCTGCACCAGAATTTTCAGGCGGGAAAGAGATCCTTGCAGTAGGGAAATACCTTATAAATCCAGGCGGGCAGGAGGGGAGGGAAGGAAGATAAGAGGAAATAAAACACTGTCAGGACTGAACCTAAATCCATACATTTTAGAACTTGGTCAACTGCCGTCTGTATCTTGCAGTTACAAGTGGTTACATGTTGAAATGTAGTAAAGTGAACAAAAACAAGAGAACATTGCTGTTCGGAGATAAAGAGCTCTCCATTTCTGTCAGGCAGCCAGGTAATTGAAATCTGTCTAGAAAGGGACAAGACTTACAAGAACTTAGAAATGTGCAACTAGATAAAGTACAGATCCTGCTGCTAGAAAGATCTGTATTGTTTGCAGGTAACTGGACAAGCTAAATAGTCTGGGAAATCACAAAATACTTGTAGCAACTTTAAAAGAAAATTCTTTCCTTTTTAAATTGCTCAAATGTTTAGCTTTTTCAATGGAAGGCATTAAAAGTCGAGTACTTGAGAAAGTATTGTAACAAAGTTCTGCACGTAAAAAGGTTTGAGTTAGTCATAAGGAAGAGATTGTTAAGGCTAAGCTAAACTTCACCTTTTCTTTCTGCAGTCTACAATTGTCAGTAGGTACGAGGCTTTCTCAGACTTATCAATTACACTGCTTAATGTCGTACAATTGGGTTTTTTATAAGATTGGCAGCACTTCTGAAAACAGATTTTTAGTCTATTTCTCCTGCAACACTTTACACCGTTTGAGCTTTTAGCACATAGTTTCAGAAAAAGCTGCATTCCTTTAACTGCTCAGCAAGTCTGCATACACAGCACTAAGGCATTTAGACAGATCCCCCAGGACACTACTTACTAACAGACAGTTTGAATTGTGAAGGAAACAAATGCCCCACACCTCACTTCCTGCAACCTGACTCTTAATTACCAGACATACTGAGGCAACAATCTTTCATATCACTTACTGAAAATGGAGGATACGCAAGTGACGTGGATTGTAACCAACATGGTTTCAGGTTCTTGTAATTCTGGATTTTTTTTCCAGATGGACTCAAAGAGGAGTTGGTTTTTTTCACTCCACAATAATCCTTTATGCAACATCCTTATTTGGAGGGACACAATCTCAGCAGAACACTGTTACAGGATACAAACTCACAGAGAAATAAACGTGCACTGCCCTAATCCATTTTGTAAATTGCACCTCATTTGAAAAGCACAAAAGATACTATTATAGATCTAGTTTTGTGAAGAAGTGGGGTAGGGACCACCAGTGTTTCTGGAGATTGTTCTTAAAGAGTGCTTAAAGTCCATGCATATATTTTCAATGTTTTCAGTTCATCTCCATCTTCATTGTCAACATCAGGTTGCATTACAAACTTCACTTTCAAACCTATTTCACTGCCTTTTTCAAAACACTTCTTACTGCAGCTCATAGATGAATTTCTTCTGAAATATCATTTGTAGCACACAGTGTAAAAGCTGCTCATGTATCTAAGTGACTTCAGAGTTTTAAAAATTATTCCAGTGCTTAAGTGCTTACAGCCTATTAAAAGAAATGTCATTTTGGCAGTGGTGTTTGTGATACGAAAATGACCAAACATGACAATCATTCCAGAAGATCCAGGGCAAAATTAATACCTGAAACAGCTATAGTTAACACTAGGATTAAATGGTATTAATTTTGGCATGGGAACTTTCAAAAGCCTGATGAGGTGTACTATGTACTAGTAACTCCACTAAGTCTTGCAAATGTAAAGCCCCACCTAAAAGCACTATAGACCTATCTAGCAAGGGATTTTCTAGTAACCCTATTTACAGCAGTATAGATATTAATATCTCAAATGGAACAACCCACACTTCTCTACTTAATCAGAGTTCACAAGACTGTCCAACGCATTAAAGTAGTTGATATTTCAGCAATATTCACTGTTTTACCTCCAAATACGATGAAAATAAAAACTGTGAAACTGAGAAGTGGAAGACAAAAGAAACAAACAAAAAAAAAAACCCAACCAATCAACCACGGAACGACAGTCATTTCATTACAATTCAGTTCATGACAATTTCATTCCATATAGTAAAATTTGTATCAGGTCATAGAACGACTGGATAAAAATAAAAAGATCCTGCTTAAAGTCCCTTGCCCTTCCATACCGAGTGGAAGGTGAGCGATCCTAACACCTCCAAACTGCTGCTGCCAGTCTCAGCAGTTATACTACCAAATTATGAGCTCAGTATAACCATCTTTTGCCTTGATATTTACTGAAATTTACTCTGACACACATTATTACCTGCAGAGTCTCCTTAACCATCTCTGCCCAGCAACCCGCTTGTAGTCAGACCCTGCAGCCCCTTAACAGCAGGGCTTGATTGTGTGTCTAACTGAAAGCATAAACCAAAAATACTAATTTGTAATGGGTATTACAAAAAGGGGCAGACATGAATAATAACAGTAACTCTGAAAAAAAAATTAAAAAGCTAGTAGGCTCATAGGCAATCCCAGAAATTTGCTGAAGTGGACACACAGTAAGATTTCTCAAAGAGTTAGGTGATGCAATACACAGAATTACCAGGACAGACATCACAGACTCTGTACAGAAAGTTAAGAGGAAGAATGTCTACTGGGAAGTCGACAGTGAGATTTCCCCCTCTGCTAACTAACTTAAAGAAACATCTTCCTACAAAGTGCTTTGAAAATCTGCAGAAAGCCAATGAATTAGTTATTCTAACCTCTTAAAAATCATGGAACCACTCACATGCAATTTCTCATGTGACTATACCCATTGTGTATTGTGAGGGGATGGTATTTCACCTTCATGAATTCCAACAACATTTTTTCCATAAACCTATACTTCTCGTAAGTCCTGTCAACTCACGCATAACCATATGCATCTGCATACCAACCGTAACAGAAATTTCTTAACATATGCATACGTACAGCATCTACTGAAACAATCCAACACCTTCTATTTTAACTCGTCAGGACGTGAGATACACCACGTAGAAACATATGCTAATTCAATTATGTTCAGAATTACTCTTAGCTTTTAGCCTATTTTATCTTGTTGACTTAAATATATAGCAAGCCAAGGCAAATTTCCTTCAATATTTATCTTTTTGGTTAGATTACGTATCTTGCCAGCTACTGACAATGGCAACTTGAAGTAGCTATGAAACTTGAGCATCTTTCCAAAGTCATATTTCCACTGATGTATAAAGCTCTCTCTTTTTTATTATTTAGTTAAAAAAAAATTACAAATACTTAAAAGAAAATAATATTACACCCTTTAAGACTGGCTTTGAATCTGTTGCCTTGCACATTGGTATAGTGTATCTATTAGTTTAGTTGTTCACACCTATTAAACGATGTTCAATGCAAGTCGTTTGGATTGCATCCAAAATTCTCTACATTCACAAGACTCCGATAAAGCACCTTACAGTGCACCAGCTTTATCTAGCTACATAATTTTACATACTTCTGACAGCTTGGACTGCATCTGGTGCACATCTACCACCAGAGTTTTAATACCTTCAAATACTCATTAACTACATTAAAGCATACACTTGCTTCTGAAAGCTGCATAACAGAGAAAACTAGCATTACATCTGATGAAAAGTTCTGAGGCTTACATGGAGCAATCATTTTCATTAAAACAAAAACTGCAAGTAACTCCACCTAACCCTGAAGGTGCCTCTCTGTTTTACTTTAAATTCTTTGAAAACTTTGAAGTTCTCCTTCTGGGTGTGTCCAGAACTACTGCAGTCCAAAAAAGCTCAGTGCCTGCCTCCAATCTAAACTGGATCAAGATCCAGAAGTTTTCATTTCTTTGCCTAAAATATCACAAACAGTCTCCCACACTCCAGTAAGTATACTCCACAAACAAAAGCGTACACAAAGACAGGATCAAGCCTCTTATATTCACAGGAGCAACTACTAATTGTCTTTTAAACATAGCCTCTGGAATCATCTGCTTTTGCATAACAGCTCAGTGACTCATGCTCCTGCGATAGGCAGCCGTGACTCAACAGCCTCTGCGCAAGTGGAGAGACACTCCTTGGTGCCTGAGGGCCCCACCTTATCCACTGCCTTACAGACTAATCTAGGTGAAGGTGCCCACATTTCC